ATGAGTATATGGATCCAAGAGGGGTGGGAGAGGCTGGAAGCAGAAGGATGTGGATGTGCAGGAAGAGGAGATATTAATCATTGGGTTGTACAATTTGATGGGAGGCGGGGTGAGGGAAATGGAAAGGATTTGTTCGAATTTGTATTCAAATTTTATAAATAAAATAGAACATTTTTTAAAAGGTTAAAAAATATTGTTCTCTCAACTTTTCCTTTGATTGTTTATGAAACAAAAGCTTAGGAGAAATATAATCTCAACATTTTAAATCTAGTTGGTTATTTTCAAAACTTTCTTCTAGCTATTTGTAATATCAGTCACATCTCAGCCCTGGGCCCCTTGGTACTGCTCTAATAACCACATGAGGAAAATGTTAAATATGAGAAGTTGCTAGATTCAGGAAAGATGTTTGAAGATTATTTAAGCTCTAGCAAATGTAAAGGTCAGTGCTGCTGGGCACAAGAAATAATCAACTTTGCCTCCTCCACACTTATTATGTGTACCTAAGTCAGAAAGGAAAGCTTAGATCCTTCCCTAGAAAAGAGCTCTTGGTATACTGTGTCATTCTTTCTCGATTGAAATAGAAGTTGAGGCATAGATTTCTTTTTTTCCATATTAGATTAATATTTTTAGAAACACTGCTATAAAATAAACATTGTGGTTCCATTTCTCTCTGTTGAAAATGCCTTTTCTAGAATAGAACATATGAACTCTTCAGGTTTACTTTTAGAGGCCAATTTTTACAATATATAACCTCTGGACCTAATTTAAAGCCTAAGAAACATTGCAACCTTCCTTTGGATGGAAAAATCTAAATACATTTGAAATATACATTTTATTGTTTTCCCATTGCTAGCGGTTTTTTCCCTTGTAACCTTTTGAGAGATGAGTTATTTTCTTGAGCACTTTTAAGTCTGGATTGACCATAGTCTGTCCTTCAGTGGGTTTTCAGAGGCAGTAAATCATTACTACAATCAGCGGCATGTGTTTCTATCTTGAATTTTCTGTCTTCTAAACTCTCCCTGTCTTTCCTGCTCAGAATCTGTTGGAGAAATACAATGAGATGTTCTATTTGAAGAAAAATAGCAGGTCTCAGCACACAATTGACATATCCTTTTACGTGTTAACGGAATACTTAGTGAGCACCTACCACCTAGGAGGAGTTCTGGTGGCTTAGTGAGGAAAGAGTTGTGCTGTCAGCCCAAAGGCTGGCAGTTCAAGCCCACCATCAATCCTTTTCCATGTGATTTCCAGGCTCAGAAAACTCACTGGAGGAGAGGCAGCTATGAGTCAGTTCCCTGGCAGCAATGAGCCAGTATAGAGGCACTTTTATAAGCAACATTAGATTTATCAGAGTTCTTGATGATATCCACCTTGCCAAATCCAAACCTCGATTCTTCATTTTCATCTGACTTCTTTTGTCAGTGGAAATCACCTCTTCTTCAAATAGGTTATCCTATGGATTCTGAAGCACCACTTAAAAAAGCAAAGCAAAACTATCAAAAACCCAACAAATCAGTTGTTTCCAACTCATGTCAGCAGTGACCCTCCTGATCTCCTTTTTCTCTCCCTGACCATCATTTAGTATAATTTGCTGGCTCCTCCTTTTCTTGTTAGCTAAACCCTTGGATTTTTCTTCTTTTCTACTTACATTCTCGTCCTAAGTGATCTCTGACATACTCAAGCTTATTGCAGCAATCACTGTTGTCAATTCATTTGGTTGAGGGTCTTCCTCTTTTTTGCCAGTCCTCTACCTTTCAAAGTGTGATGTCCCCAAGGAATAGAATCTTAATAACATGCCCAAGGTAAGCAAAACAAAGCTTTATCATCTTTGCCTCCAAAGAGTATGCTGGCTGTAACCTCTCCAAGACATATCTATTTGTTATTGTGGCAGTTCATGCGATAGTCAGTACTCTTCTCCAACAGCACAATTCAAAGGCATAAATTCTTCTTCTATCATCCTTACTCGTTGACCAGCTCTCAGATACATAGCGAGTGACTAAAAAGACCATGGTCTGGATCAGACACACTTTAATCCTAAAACTGACATCATTGCTCCTCCAAAATCTGGAAAAGTCCCTGACCAAAGACTTTCCCAATGTAATATGTTTCCTGATCTCCTGTTAGTACCAAGGGTAGATAATAAGGACTCCTAAATCACCATCACCACTATCCTATTTTACCCTAAGCTCTAGATTAGATGTTATAACGAGCGGCCCATTTGATATTTTCACTTGGGTGTCCAATAAGCATCTTGAAACAGAACTACTGATTTCCCTCCCAGTGCCTATGACACAAACTTGTTCTTCCCTCCATCTTTTCCATTTTAGTAAAATTGCATCATAGGTAAAATTGACCCTCAAAAAACTAAAAGCTGAAAATTATGATCTGTTGCATGTAATAGCATCAATTTAACCAGTAAACCTGAGACAAGCAGACTAGGGTTGTGCAGTGGCTTCTCAATGCCAGAAATGTTCCAGGATCCTCCTATCTTTCATCATGAACCCCTTCAAAATTTCAAGATGGCAGTCCCACTTCTCACCTCAAATCCACATTCTAATGAAAAAGGAGGAAATTGAGAAAATGAGAAGCTTAGAGCCTATATGAATATAGCTACATTTTTCCAGGAAGTCCTAGTAAATCTCTGCTTATGTCTCATTGTCTAGTTCTGTTTTAAATTCCACCCCCCAACAAGAAAGACTGAAATATATTGCTTTTTTAGGTGATACATTGGATGAGTGAATAGTGAATTCTGCTAAGTCGTCTTAGATTCCTCTCTTCCTCATCCTTCACTAGCAACCCATCAGCAAATCCAAAAAGTTTTAATGCCAGGATATTTACAATTGCCTCTTTTAATCTTCACTGCTGAAATGCTGGCCCAAGACATTATCATCTCTTACCTTGACTACAAAAAGCTGACTTCTAACTAGTCTCCCTCCTCCGCTATTGCACTCTCTGTAATCCTTTCTCCCCACAGTAACCATGGTGATCATTTGAAAGCACATGAAAATAATCATACCACTTTCTTCCTTAGGAGCTCTGGTGGCCTAATGGCTGAAGAGTTGCAGTGCCAACCCAAAGGCAAGTGGTTTGAATCCACCAGCTGCTCTAAGGGATAAAGATGGGAACTTTTCTTCCATGCAGTTTACAGCCTCTGAAAACCTACAAGAAGGTCAGCTATGAGTCAGTTCCTGACTCAATGACAAATAACAATTCTTCCTTAAGATTCTCCAAAGTATCTGTCCTGGTTTGGACTTCCCTAAAAGAAGACCTTGAGATAAAAATTTGAGTGAAAGACATTTATTTGTAAGGCGCAGAAAACACAGTGTGGACAGTTCAGATAGTCAAGGAAGAGAAAGTGGCCTAAAGCAGCTGTGTTAGCTCGGCAGCCTCCTCAACAGTATCTGAAGCTTAGTTGCTGAGGGATGCAATGAGGAATGGAGTAGAGACTATCTGGCCCAAGGGGCAAAGGAGGAACTTTGTACACAAAGCCCAAGAATTGCTAGGTCTTGACCTAGACTTTTTGATTTGAGCAGCTAGTCTTAGTCTCACAGCTTCTTCCCTTTGAGTCAGAATCACAAGAGCATAAGAAGCTTAGCTAAACCTCTCTAACATGGTAAACAAAACAATAACCAAACCAGTTTTGTTCCATCCCCTCTGATTTATGAGATCTCACATGTGTCAGAGTAGAACTGTACCCCACAGAGTTTTCACAGCTGCATTTTTAGAAGTAAATTGCCAGCCTTTTCTTCCCAGCTGCTTTTGGGTGGACTCAAAGGCTCCAACATTTGGTCAGCGGCCAAGAGCATTAACTTCTGCGGTTGAAATTGCATCTTTTTTTATTTCCAGAGACTCTTTTTATTTCCTTTTTACTTTTTTAAATTTTCTACTAGTTTGTTTACAAAATTTTAATACATTGTTTTTAAGAACAAATTCTTTCCATTTCCCTCACCCCGCCCCTATCAAGTTGTACAACCCCATCATTAATCCTCCCTCTCCCTGCACATCCTCATCCCTCTGCTTCCACCCTCTCTCACCCCTTTTGGATACTTACACTCATTCTACAATAATGGTTTTACTCAATTTGATAGAGAGAGTTGCTGGATATAGAATTCTTGGCTGACAATTGTTATCTTTCAACTTTCTGTATATGGCATCCCATTGCCTTGTAGCTAACATGGTTTCTGCTGAGAAATCAGAACTTAATCTAATTGTTTCCCCTTTGTAGATAACATTGTTTTTCTCATGCTGCTTTTAGAATTCTATGCTTATCTTTTAATTTGGATAATGAAGAAATGGAACAGAGAGACAGTGAGCTGGAAGACAAGAGCCTCATTAGAAACATACTTGAAGAAAAATTAGAGTTGAGATGTAAAGAAAATGAAGAAAACATTAGAATTATGTGAGATGACATCAAATGGAATAACATACATATGGTTGGAATTCCAGAACACGAGAGTGACAAGGAAATCACTGAGAAGATTGTGGAAGAAGTACTAGAAGAAAATTTGCCAGGTATTTTGAAGAATGGGGAAATGCACATTCAAGAAGCACAGAGAACACCAAATAGACTAGACCCAAAAATAAAAACACCAAAACATACCATAGTCAAATTCTCCAGAGACACTTTTAATAGGACAAGAGGTTCAAAATACCATATCAGAGTCATAAATGTTTGCTTTAGAAATTTTCCACACTTTAGCCTCATTTGAAAGTAGTTTAGTTTGTGATGCACTTTTTAAATTTTATAATTTTTAATATTATTATTACCATTATTTTCATAATATCATAAATTTTCAAATAGGGAACATGAGATGTGAAATAATTCCTTGAAATCAGTATATTAAGATATACACATTTTATAACATGAGCAATTGGTTATACATAATCTACCTCATTAAATGCCATTAGTGTGTCTATAACTCCAAAGAATATATATAACTGGATGCTAATGAGATAATCTTGGCTATATCTCTGCCTTTATCTTTTCTTACTACTTATCACTACTTTCCTTTTTTCTTCAATTGTTCTACAAAGTAATCATTACAAGCAACAGTCAGAGCTGCCACCATGACCACAAATTCATTAAAATCCACTTCATTGTCCTTATTGGCATCCAGGTCCTGCATGATCTTGTCAACCAACTGGGGATCCTTCTGGCACTGAAAGAAAAAAAGAAAGGTTCCAATTCCCACATTTTGAGGCTCAATATGAGAGTAGAAACAATATCTTTCTCCCCCACCCTCTTCCCCATTACAGTTTGTATTCCCATTTTTAGCATCTAAAGGCAACTGATGAACAGTGATAAGAAATGTGCTGCAATCCTAAAGGCACACGGTTTGAATCTCCCAGCTTCTCAGCAGAAGGATGGGAAATCTCCTCCCATACAATTTACTGCCTCTGAAAACCTACTGAGGGGTCAGCAGTGGGTCAGCTCTGAGTCAACAGCACAAAATAACAAAAAAGGCAAAGCCTACATGCCTGTTTGCTGCTAGGTTTGTGCCAGGCACACATGCTAAGAATGTAACCTCTGCTCCATGATCGTATAGTTCTGCTGTTCTTGGTCATTAAACCTGAGTCAAATCAGTATTGATCAAAAGGAGTTGTTAATCTAAAACTTGTTTTCACCATATCACAAAGTCCAAAGCCAGGTGAGCAGTCAAGTAGGGTATAAAGAGGGGAACTTTGAAGCCAAAAAGAGTGAGCAACTCTACCATTTACCAAGAAGGGAACTTGAAGCGAATTACTTAACCTGCTTTTTAGTGACTGCCTCTGAAAACCTGTTGGATGGTCACCATTACCCATGAGTCAATTTCAGCTTCACTACCATGAAGTGGTAGTGGCTTTTGCTTATTTGTAAAATGGAAATGATACCTATCTGCAAATTTAGGGAGTTTTTTCAACACAACTTTTGAAAGTGGTTAGCACTAGACTTGTCAGTTTTAGTCTATAAAAATAGAAAACACCAGTTAAAGTTGAATTTCAGATAAACAACAAGTAATTTTTTACTACAAAACCAATCCCAAACCCATTATTGTTGAGCCACTTCCAAATTACAGAGATTGTATTCCGATTTCCAAGCCTGTAAATCTTCCAGAGAGGAGATTGTCCATTTTTTTCCCAAGGAACTACTAGTGGATTTGAACCACCAACTTTTCAGTTTAGCAACCCAATAGTCAACACTACCAAGGCTTAATGTTTTCATTTAACTCTGTCCCACCTATTGCACAAGGCATATTTTGCAGGCATTATGTACATAGGGTCGCTATAAATCTCAGATGACTCGACGACACATAACTACAACATTGCACTTTCCCCAGCAACTCTACTTAGCACGTTGCCTAACACACAAAAACAGGAGTACCCTGCGTTTTATGGGCTTCAGAAAGAATGGGCCTGTGAGCACCCTCCTCTCCTGGGATTAGCAGTTGATGAGAAATATTTCCACAAGGAGTTCATTTCCTCCAGAAATTCCCCATCATCCTTTCATTAGCTACCAACCATCAAATGGTTGGAAAGTTAAATTTAATTGATTAAAATCAACTTGGCAGAAAACATAAATTTGACTTGACTAAACCAGCATGCCAAGTTTGACTGACTGAGCCTTTGATTTGGAACATTATAAGATACAGGAACCAAACTGAGTTTGGGAGGACAAAAAGTTCCTGGGAACTTCTAAAGCAATTAAAATGATATTAAGAAGAGTTATTACGTTAGAGAGAAAATTTTACTTTAAGTTTTACCCTAGAAAATTAGGAGCAGAGGGGAGAGACAGAGAATCATAATCAAATCACTGGAGCCTTCATACAAGGGTTGTGTAGATTTACTTCGAACAAGAGGGGAGATTACATTGTATTAAAATCAATCCATAAACATCAGAGTAAAGTCTTTTCCTCAGGAGGCTCCAAACACTGCCCTGTAAACCTTCACTCAGATTTACTGAGCTCTTGCTGTTTTAAGACGTGTGTCTGGTATCGCATTGACTAACGTACCAAACATATCCTTGTGGTTGATCCCAATCAGCTTGTGTTTGTCTGATAAAGCTCTCAAAGCATCTCTCATTCACACGGAAAACCTGGCACCACAACACAAAGCACTCAGGCCTGATTTCTGGTGCAATAAGTAAGATTAATTTACAGACATCTGGACAGAACTCTTGGTATAACTGGTTTCTTCTTGCAGCCTCATGATGTCAAATAATTGATGAAAGCCTCAAATAATCACCTTTAACGTTTGGAAATCCTATCCAATATGGAAGAGAGCACATGTGACAAAAATCGAAAATAAAGGTGTTCAGTGTTTGCTTCCCAGGTACTTTGAACCTCAACACAAGCCCTGTTTTTGGGTGATAGAATCACAGTAGACTGTGTGCTGAGGGAAAGTGGCTGAAAGCCGGATCTCCCCCAGCTTGGTGCCAAGGGGCCACTTAGAGACTCACCGAGAGGAATTCCGTGAGCTCTCGCTGCAGGAGCATTTTCAGCTCCCCTTTGCTGAGCTTGAACTTGTCCCCTTCTTTGCAAGAGTACCGATGGAAAACTCTAATCATGGTATCCATGGCCATCTCCAGCTGGGTGGGCATGCTGACAGCAGGGGCAGACCACCAAGGTCAGGGAGAAAACACTTGTTCAAAATAAGCAATGGAGAAATAGCAACATTTTCATTAACATAGAAGAATACCATCCCCCGAGGCAACCCACTAAGCAGGTAATGGGGGGTAAGCCATGGTAACTTTCTGGGTTTTTTAACATAACATTTTCTTTTAATTATGACTTTAGTGAACATTCACAGAGAAGTTAGATTTTCATTCATTCATTTTTGTACATTTTACCCCCTCGCTCTTCCTTCTCCCTCCCCCAATTCACTTTTTATTTAATATTCATTTATTGTTGCACAATTACCAACCCCCACCACCACCACCCTATCCTCTTTTTTGCTGGGCTGTTATTGTACATATAATACATACAGTAACTTTCAAGAAACAAGAATGAATGTTAACAGAAACATTCATTCCAGGACAAACTGTAAATGAGACATTGCAGGTGGCTTCCCCTTGTCCCTGTGCCCTACTTCCCCAAGATCTAACAGCTCAGCATGTTCATAAGTTAGCAATCAACTACAGAGTCACACAAAAACGCAGGTTTCAAAAACGAAAAAAAAACCCAGAATACCTAACTTGTACCTGTTCAGCCAGCACACCGCTCCGTCACTCGATGTTTACAACGAAGCTGGAAACCTTTATGCCGGGGACTCCACCCCGGCGCACCTGTTCCCTGAGAAGATGGAAATTACCAGTGACAAGAGATTGCGAGATGCATGTAGTGGTGCTGCTGTGTCTGTTTATAATTACGGGGTGAACAGGTGTGAGCTGCCACCCCATGGGGCACCCAGGAAGGGCTGGAGGCTGTTGTGTGCAGGAGATGAGATGGTAAGAGGAGGAAGGAGGAACCCTCAGTTATCCCCGTGTTCTGGGAGCTCGGCCGGAGAAGCAATTAGTTGCTAGGAAGTTGACAGAGTGAGCTCTTAAAATAGGTCAAGAAGCAACACTAGCTCAAACCTGTAGACTCCTTGGCAAAACCAAAGGCAAAATCAAGGAAATAAACACAGAAAGAACAAAATAACACAATGAGTCAAAATCTCCAAACCAAACTTGTTGCCAAAAAAGTCTGTTCCAACTCATAGTAACTCCATAGGACAGAATAGAGCTGCACTATAGGCTCCAAGGTGTGATCTTTACAGAGACTGTAACGTTTAAGGCCTGTAATGCCACACTGATGAATGTTCATTCAAGGGCTTGTGGGTTTGAACCACTAGCTTTATGTCAGCAGCTGTGTGTTTTAAACATTGTGCCACCAGGGCTCCTTTTAAAGACAGAGACTACCACAGCTTCCTCCCACAAAGTGGCTGGTGATTTGAACTGTTGACTTTCCCCTTAGCAGGCAAGTGTGTAAGCACTGAATCCCTAGAGTTCCTTACACAATGAACTGTACTTAAGAAGGGAGGAAGCACTCAATGTACTGAGCCGTTCTGTGCTATCTGGCTGAGCCAGACTCATAGCAAAGCTCCAGGCCCAAGGAGAACTGCCCCTCAGGACTTCCGAGGCCGTGATCTTTGTAGGAACAGATCTCAGTCTTTTCTCCCTCACAGTCACTGACTTGTTTGAAACAGCTTCTCACTTAGCACCCAAGCTCTTAAGCACTGTGCCACCAGGGTGTCTAATGTGCTCACTTTCATTTAGAAAGGTAGAAAAAGTGATTAAAATTGTGAAAGAAAGGCATACAGTAAGACTACATGTGCATCTGAAAAGGCAGGAAAGAAAATGCTTAGTCACTGAGTCAATTTCCACTTATGGCGAGCGACCCTGTGTGTTACAGAATAGAGATGTCTTGGCTGCTATCTGTACAGAAGTAGATAGCCAATCCTTTCCTCCATGGTGCTACAAGGCACATTTTCCCATCAGCCATTAGATTAGTAGTCAAGCACAACTCGGGAGCCTTCTGCATGTATGATAGGGTTGTGTTTGCCTAAAATAATAATAACAACAACAGTAACTGAAAGGCTAAAGAAGTAAAAGTAGTATCATTAGGGACTAGGAAGGAAGAGGAGGGAATGAAGTGCTTGAAGAGCAATGTGAGAGTAGGACTTGTTAAATTTCTTGAATTAATTTTATCAAAGGTAAATGTGGTTGTAAAATTTTCCTAGTTGTAAAGGTTGTAGCACTTTTCTTGCTTGTAATCCCCTGGCTGTCAGCAAAGCCTGGTGGAATTCTGGGACGATGGCCGAATTACCTGATTTAAGAGGGAAAAGATGGTTTTAAAATCTTCCCATTTAAAACAGGACTTCTCAAAACTAATCTGTAAGTACTTTTCTTGTTTAAGTAAAATATGCTCATCAGATTTTGCCAAGAAATCTGGAGGACAACTACCTGATTAACTGACTCAAAGAGATCCTATTTATTCCAAATTCAAAAAAGAGGTGAACCTACAGAGTGTGAATATTATCGAACCATAACACTGATATGTTGTTGTTGTTGTTGTTATGTGCCGTCCAGTC